GATCTAGTGTGCTCCCACTTAACCAACCAGCCAGTCCCAATGCTTCCCAAAGGAGCCACAGCATCCTGGAAAAGTGGCTGCTAGAATTTGGGCAAGAAGGGACAGAGTGAGCTAATCATCTTATAATTCCAGACCAAACTTACAAACAAACCTGTAAGGATGTGTTAGATGGACAGGTGAACCAGTTCAATAGGGCTGCTACCAGCCTGAGCAACTGTATTGAAGACAGGCAGGCAAATACCCATGAGTGCTCAATAAGGACATGGAAGCAGGGTGCTGGTGCCCTAGGGCCTCATGCTTGGTTCAGTTCCCTGCCTTGTTGCTTTTGGAGATAGAAATTCTGCATTTTCATTCTTTATTGAATTTACATGATGTAGCCAGTCCCAGGGAGTGAGAAGGAGACCACTGCTCAGAAACAGCTGGAAATAACAGCTCCAGGTTGAAACCACAGGACCGTTGTTTGCACCTGGTACAGGACTAGGGTTGGATCGCCACTGACACTGAAGATACTGAACACCAGGACATGCTGGCAGCCCCAAAGTGTCCCTCCAGCCCTGGGAGGGGGGCTCAGTTTCCCCCTGAGGAAAAGAGAAAGGTTCTAGCAGGGGAGACGCCGTACCCCTCACAGTGGATGAAAACAAATGTCTGTTCTGGCGCCTGGGTTCAGAACACCACATTAACAGTAACATCATGGTTAGTTTCTTTCGTCTCTGAGGAAACGAGACCAGTGTGAGCCAGAGCCCTTTGCTGCTGCTGCTGCATGAGGGGAGTAAGGACTGGGAATGTGGTCCAGCTGGTCGAGTGCTTGCCTAGCATGCTGGTAATGGCACACGCCAGCACTCGTAGCAATCCTAGGAGAACAGGCAAGAGGATCACAAGTTCAAGGTCAACTTCAGGTACAAGAATGAGTTCAAGAACATCCTAGGCTATATGAGTCCCTGTCTCCAAAAGTTTTTTTTATAAAAATGAATGACAGAAATGGAGGTTATGAATAGCAGAACTTGGCTTGTAAAGCAGACATTGCCTTTTAATTCTATCATTTATAAAAGGGAACTGTACTTTGACCATGAAGAGATCCCTCAGACCCCACTTAAACCAAATGTAATCGACACTTAGATCCTGTACCTCCTCATGAGGGACAGTGGAAAGCATAAAGAGGTTTTTGCCAAACACTTTTAGCCCAAATCTAATCGGGAGGAGGCAGACAGATGCAAACTGGAGGGCCTTTTACGTGACAGGGCCGCCTTGTGAGAGACAGAACGGGGATTATTTGGGATTCAGGGAGACTAGAAAATCTGACAGCCAAATGGAACGCCTGATCCTTGCTTGGATCCTGGATGTTAAAGGCAGAAGCCACGGGGGATGTCTGAGGACAACGAGGAAGACAGTGCTAGAGGACACTGTTGTCCACTCTGCAGGGGTCTCGATGGCTGTTGCTGGGATGACATGGTCCAACCAGTGTCCTTGTTCTCAAGACACAGCCTGAGGTTCACAGGGATAAGTGCATGCAATCTGCTTGAAACAGTGCAGGAAAGAATATGCTCACATATATGTACTGTGTACAGATTATAAACATACATAGTCTTGCTGAAGGGCACAAAGTGTTTTCATTGTACTAGTTTTTTAACTTCCCATAGTTAGTGAAGGTTTTTATTTTTTTATTTATTTTTTTTTATTTTTATTTTTTTAATATTCTAGAGAAATGTGTTTTCCACAACAGTGAGCTCCTCTTTCTTCAGGGGACTCTGGTGTAAGCAGAGGTGAACCGTCTGGTACCACCGGTTACAGAATGTAGCCAAGGCATTTCCTCATCTTAGGGAACTCAGGACATGGTGCAGAGAGGCAAGACAGACATCACAGCCTGAGGCAGCACTCAGGGAGGTCACGGAAGCATTCCAGTCTTTGCTGGTCTGGGCTCCCTTCTAGGCTGGTAGCTTCAGGAAGTGTCATAGAGTGGGGATCAGCAGACCAGAAACTGGCTTCCCCTTCCTTTGTGCTAGCATTGTAGATCACTGCCAACAGCAGCCAGTCTGCTCTTATCTCACTTGAGTCCTAGCTGAGGCTCTTCCCACCGGTGTCCAAGGACAAGCACAGCCCTATGGCTGAGTATTATCTTAGGCACACACTGGGTCCAGCCATGTGAGTTCAGATGTCCCAAGTGGACTGTGTCCTTTACCACCCCAGGGCACCCTATGAACAGTTACTTCCTGAAGCAGGATCAGGCTGCCAGCAAACTTCAGTTCATCCCTCAAGACCCAAGCCAAAGGTCTGTCCCAGGCCACAGGGCCTTCCCTGCTCAGTCCTCTCCCAGCAGCTGGGTGTCTGGATTTTGTGGCTGCGTGATGCCTCCCATCCACACCCTTCAGCAGCTTTCACACACTAGTGTTCTCCTTGGAGGTAACGGCCTAGGACTGTTCAAAACTGATGTTTGCTGTTGGACTGAGGAGGCGGAGGCAGTAGGATTGCAAGTTCAAGGCCAGCCTAGGCTAGAGATGAGTTTAAGGCCTGTCTAGTGACATATTGAGACTCTGTCTCAAAATGAAAAATGAAGAGATCTAGGGATGTGATTCAGTGGCAGAGCGCTTGCCTAGCATGCTGAGACCCTGCGGCTCAGTCTCCAGCACCAAAATAAATATGTGACTGTGTATATGACAGGGATGTGAAGATGCCCGAAATGAGCATTGAGAAAACCTGTGGATCAGTGAGTCTAAACGGCCATGTCCCGGAATGTGACTTAGCAACTGCTGAGGACTCTACTCTGCTTTCTTCCAGAAGCCTCTGCACTTGTCGGCTGTTTCTGCACTGCGGCTGAATGCCCGGGTGTGGAATTGGTTTCAAGTCATCAAAATTGTAAGTTGCAAAATCTTGGGTTGCAGGGTCTGGCCATTTGTTTTCAGAAAAAAAAGTAATAATAAGTAGAGGTTGAATTTTCCCTTGACAGTAAGGTGTATCCCGAGCCATGGATTAACACCTTCATAAAAATGTACCTAAACCAAGTACCCTGTCTTATTTATGCTAGTGTCTGTGAAATCTGCTGGGAGAGGGGAAGTGGTCTCCTGAAACTTATATCTGTCACATGTGTTGTCTTGAAGAAATCTGTAGGCATCCAAAGTGGAATGTTTTGTTTGGTTTGGATTTCTTCAATTTCGGGGGGCAGGGGGTGGCGTAAAACAAGGAATCAAGAATCCTTGCTCATATGAAACATCTAACTCTCCCCCTTGATCTGTGTGTAGTAAGTGTTCAATAAATGTTGGCTGAACTGACCCACCTCATTCATCTTTGTGGTTCACAGAGGTCATTTCCTCTATTCATGAATTCTGGGGG